GACCAATGGCGGCCGCCTTTTTCCAGTATTAGCCAATCGGCATGCAAGTCCCGCCCTAAGAGGCGTGCCCGGAGGCGACGGGGACGTCCTGGGCGGTACAGGACCGGAGGCTCTGCCGCTGTTGGCTCCGCCCCTGCCGCGTCCTAGCCACGCCTCTGTTCCTGGGTCACGCCCCCAGCCCTGGGTTACGCCCCCATTGCAAACGGGGTTTGCTGCCCCAACTGCAGAACGCTAGCAGGGCTTTTAAGTAAATAAAACCTTCGCAGAGTTCAACTTGACCCTTGCTATGTGATTTGTAAATGTTCGTTACCGCCCTCGCCCTTTTCATTAGTCTTGCGGGAGGGAGAGATCGTCTGATCACTTTTCACAGAGGGAAACAGAAGACTAGTTGGGGTTAGTGGAGAAGCCTAAAGCCATTATTCATAGCTTATTTGTTCATGCGATAGATCCGTTCAAAAAATGTAGACAACAGCTGATCGTGGAGGGAAAGGGGATATAAAAAAGAACCGAGGTGTGGATTTTGCTTTTGTTTTTCTTTTCATTTTTTGAGACAGGGTCTCACTATGTAGTTGAGACTGACCTGGAACTCACTATGAAGCCCAGGGTGGTCTCAAACTCACAGCGATCCTCCTGTCTCAGCCCCCTCCGAGTGCTGGGATTACAGGCGTGCGCCACCACACCCGGCTAGAACTGAGGTGTGTTACGTCCCTGTACCAACTCCCCACGATGTGTGACTATTATGTACTGCCAAAAGGTGCTACTACATTTTTTAAATATTTTTAAAAAATAGAAATAGATGTACTGTAGACCTAAAATGTACCAGTAAACTCAATGAGGAAAAAAAATAGGAATAGAAGTTACCTAGGAGAAAAGAAAAGAATAAAGAATAGTAACCAGAGCATTGGGAAATACACAGTCTTAGATAGGATGGAAAATTGCCCAGGACCCTCTGCTCCTGCATTTGTTAAATTCTGTTGTGTTGTACCAGCCCTTTTTTTTTTTTTTTTTTCAGTACCAGGGATCAAACATAGGACCTTGCACTTGTGAGGCAGGCGCAGTGCTACTGAGCTAAATCCCTGGCTCTACCAGCTTATATTTTTTAAATGGAAAGATAAGTCATAACATTTCATAGAGATTACTCATGGAAGATGAATTTTGTCAGAAACAAAATAGTCACTTTTGTCAAACCCTAAAAAACAACAGCAGGAGCCGGGCATGGTGGCACACACCTGTCATCCCAGCACTCAGGAAGCTGAGGCAGGAGGATCGCTGTGAGTTTGAGACCAGCCTGGGCTACACAGTGAGTTCCAGGTCAGTCTCAACTACACAGTGAGACCCTGTCTCAAAAATACCTGTGTGTTGTGGCCCCCAAATCATCTGTATAATCTCATGTTATTGATCCTTGTAGCCAAAGAACTAATTCAAATAACTTATGTACTCCTCCTCACTTTGACTTTGAACCCTTCTCTTCTTTCAACCCCTTGGAAAGCACGCGCCCTTTCCAGTGGCCTGTACATCCTCATTGGAATGCCATCTCAGCATCAATCTGATTTTTCTTTTTTAGTGGTGGGGGCCAAACCCAAGGTCTCCCACATGCTGGGCAAGTACTCTGCTGCTGGAGTACATTCCCACCCCTTTTTAAATTTTAACTTTCTTTAAAAATTTTTGACACAGGGTATTGGTATTGCTAAGTGGCTAAATTCCTCAAACTAGGTTTGAACTTGCAATCCTCCTGCTCCAGCCTCCCAGAGTGCTAGGAGTACAGATGTGTGCCACTAGGCCTGGCTCAGTTTGGTTTTAGAGATGTTACTTGCAGTAAATCAAAATGCATCAGGTATGTTTCAATTCAAGCACTTTTTAATTTATTTTTTTATTTTTTGAGTACCGGAGATCCAACTTGGGACCTCGCACTTGCAAAGGCAGAAGTAATTTTTATTTTAAAATGAGTTTGAACTTACATAAAGGTTGCAGATATGACACAGAGTTTCTATAAATCCTTTTCCCAGATTCCCTCTCTCTCTCTTTTTTTTTTAACTACATTCTTGACTCCTTTGAATATTAAATTTATAGCTAGGTGTGGTAGCACACGCCTGTAGTCCCAGCATTCAGGAGTGTGAGGCAGGAGAATCGCTGTGAATTGGAGGCCAGCTTGAACTACATAGCAAGATCCTGTCTCAAAAAAAGGCCCCAAAATTTTTTTAGAAAAATATTATAGACACGGCATCCTATGAGAACTTACTACAAAATATATAAGCACACTTTTCCACCCATAGTTCACCTCAACATCAAAAATTAATACGGAGCCAGTATTACCATGAAATACCCAAATTCCATTCAGTTTCTCATAAAGTCTTTAAAGGCCTGAAATTCATCTGTGGTTTATATGTTGTAGTTTGATTTTTTTTGGCGGGGGGTTGAGACAGGGTCTCACTATGTAGTTGAGACTGCCCTGGAACTCACTATGTAGCCCAGGCTGGTCTTGAACTCACGGCGATCCTCCTGCCTCAGCCTCCCAAGGGCTGGGATTACAGGTGTGAGCCGCCACCACACCCAGCTTTTTATTTTTATTTTTTGGTACCCGGGATAGAACTGGGGTCCTTGCACTTGCGAGGCAGGCGGCAGCAACAAGCTAAATCCCCAGCCCTCATCAATTATTTCTTACCTGAAGCAAGTATATTTTGATCGCTGCCAATAGGTGATTATCCAGTTCCATGTTGACCACTCCCTTTACTGACTGGCCCCACAAGATGTTCCAGAATGACTTCTCTTGTACTCTCTGGACTTGTCTAGGAAGCAACCATTTCTCCAAGAGGCCCTGGTTCCTTTTAGTAGAGAGTGATATTTAGAAATTGAGCTCTGAGGGATGAGTGTGTTCATTGCTACCATGGTATTGCTAGTTCTTGGCCTTCTCCTCACAATGCATATGCATGCATGGACCTAGAGACACTTACACATATCTATCTAGTCACTCACCCACCTACCTTTATTTTATTTTACCCTTTTGCGGTGCTGGAGATCAAATCCAGGGCCTTGCCCATGCTAGGCAAGTGCTCCATCACTGAGATACATCTCGAACCCGACCCACCGAGCTCGAAAACCAAGAGTGAACCTCAACACCCCTGATTCAAATCCAACACCAGCACTCCCCGTCCCCTCTGTTTCTAATCTCCTTCCCTCGCTGTCAGAAACCATAATCCCATCATCTAGGACAACAGTACACTCTTAGCTGGGCGAGGCGGTGCACACCTACAATATCAGTGCTGAGGCAAGGTTGCCAGCCTGGGCTCCACAGTGAATTCAAGGACAGCTGGGATTATAAAGACTCTATCTCAAAAACAAAAACAAACAGGGGCAGGGATTTAGCTCACTGGTTTCAGTGCCTGCCTTTCCTGAGTTTGATCCCTGGTATCTAGAGCATCTTGGCTTCTGGAATTTTCAGGCATCCTGAAACAGGACCCTGCGGATAGAGAGGACAGTTCTTCACTGTCTTTTATCTGGGCATTGCACCCCCTTCTTAGAGCTTTCTGGCTCATCGCAGGCTCTCAGTGAACCTTGGAAGAGGTGCTGTAAGTTAGTGGTTATACTCACAGCTCAGCTCGGGGTTTGAAATCTATTTGCATCTTACTAATTGCAGGACCTCAGGCAGGTTGTTTTCTCTTCCCCACCCATAAGATGGAGCTGGTATATTATGCCCTCCTCCTCCGGTTCCTGGAAATACCACGTAATCAGGTGTTGAAGATTTAACACGGTGCCTAAAAAGGCAAAGTTCCAATTATCGTGCTATCTAGCAACTCTACTCCCAAAGAGATGTCCACAGGAATTGATATCAGGGGCTCACACAGATCTTTGTACACCATGTCCATAAAGCAGTGGGATTCACACCAACGAAAAGCAAAAGCAATCCAAGTATTCGGTGATACATGGAGGGATATAGGTATGGTGGTGCACTCGGGAGGCTGAGGCAGGAGGATTGCTGTGAGTTGGAGGACAGCCTGGGCTACATAGTGAGCTCAAGGCCAGCCTGAATTACATAGTGAGACCCTGTGTCAAAATAAAATAAAAGGTAGAGACAAACACGGCACATTCATACCAAGGAGTGTGATTTTAGTCCTTTTTGTTTGATTTTGAGACTGGGTCTCACTTATGTAGTGAGACTGACCTGGAACTCACTGTGTAGCCCAGGCTGGTCTTGATCCTCCTGCCTCAGCCTCCTGAGTGCTGGGATTACAGGCCTGCGCCACCACACCTGGCTTTGATTTTAGTCTTAACAAGGAAGGAATTTCAGTGTTGGGATGGAGCCCAGGGCCTCCTGCAGGGAAGTGCTCTACCGCTGAGCTACACCCCCAGTGCAATCAACTTCTTATTGTGTGTACTTTACCACATTCATGAAAGACTTAAGAATAGGACCTGGGGCTGGGGCATTTGCCTGACTAGAATGAGGTCCTGGGTTCCATTCCCAGCGCTGAAAAACAAAACACAAAAACAAAAACCAGGCCGAGTGCACAGCAAGATGAGTTTAACAAATCACTTAGCATAATTAAAACAGCATCCTTGGCCCCTGCTTCCCAGGGGGGAAGAGGAAGCTGGCCATTTCCTGTGGGACTTGGCAAACGTTGATCTTTCTGACGGCTTCAAACTTTGGCGGGGGCACTGGCCCACCACACACCCGCCCATCCTGCTACCCTGGAGCCAGAGGTCCCAGGCCCCTGTGCACGGGCACTGTGTGGGGTCCACCTTAGCCCTTACGCGCCGAGGTCCCCCGCCAGTCAGCCTTAGCCGGTGTCCACGCTGGCCTGGGCACACTTGGAGCAAAGGCGCGGGCTTGTAGCTTCTCCAGGAGGGTGTACAACAGTCTAGTGCAAGGCAAGGTGGCCAGAACCTGGTCTCAACAGGAAGGGACCCTCAGGTATCTAGGGCGAGTGGGCTCCGCGGGTGCAGGCTGAAGCACACAGAAGTGCTGTCAGGCATCGTGGGAGCGAGGGGAACACAAAAGCAAGGGCTGCGAGGAAGGCGACACCTCGTCCTCGTACCAGCCCTAGAGCCTGGCAAGAGAGGGGAGCCCCGAGCCACCCCTTGGCCCCCCAACCCCATTCTCCCAAGGGTCTCCCTCAGGCCTCAGAGAACCTGGGCGTGGCTGACGTCCAGGGAGGAGCAGCGGCAGGTGCAAAGGGTGCACCAGAGGGCACCCTTGGGTGTCGTCGCCCCCACAGCATGCTGGGCCCACGCGAGCCTCCCTGCACCCCGGGACCCCAATGACCACGCCCTTCACCCTTGGCACACACGGGGACCAAGAGGTCCCCAGGACTGGAGCGGTGGGGGTTCCCACCTGCCCCGGGGTGGGGGACACACAGAGAAAGAAGACAGAGGCTGTGCAGGTTCTGTACAGGAACTCGCTGATAACATTTTAGTAACGGGCAACAGTGCAGGGGCCACGGGGAGAATAAGAGACCGAGAGCTGGGGATCGGCGTAAATCTTACAAAGTGTATAAAGAATCTGTGTTTCTCTACAATAACAAAAACCAAAGGCTACAAGAGCGGTTGTATATACAAAACACGGAGATATTGCTTCACTTGCAAACAGGTTCCTGACCAGACCGGGACGAGACTGGGGCGCTGCGTGCGGGGGCGGGAGGTCGGGCGGGGTCCTCTC